ACATGGCAGTGACCAGTCTTTAGTAAGTTTCCCCTGTATTCTTCAGCCCAAAAGGCATAACCTTATAGCAATAGGTTCCTCTTGGGGTGAGGAATGCAGTTTTGTCTTGGTCCTCCGGATGCATGGCAATTTGATGGTAGCCTCTGTAAGCATCGAGGAAGCTCATACGCTGATGGCGTGCCATCGCATCTACAAGTTGGTCTATTATGGGGAGGGGAAAACAATCCTTGGAGTAGGCTTTGTTTAGGTCTGTGAAATCAACACAGACTCGCCAAGTCCCATTTTTCTTATTCACAACCACAGTATTCGAGAGCCAAGTGGGGCAAGTCACTTCTCTGATAGCTCCGGCGTCAAGGAACCGGTCAACCTCTTTAACAACGGCGGCAGTGTGCTCTGCAGTTGACCGTCGGCTTTTCTGAATAATCGACTTGCATTTAGGGTCAACATTTAAACGGTGCTGCGAAACAGACGGATTGACACCCGACATCTCATTTGGAGTCCATGCAAATACATCAAGGTTGCCAAGTAGGAAGAAAATTAGCTGCTATCTGTCGGCTTGATTCAGGGAGGTGCCAACCATGAAGAACCTATCTGGGTTTCCGTCAATCTCAACTCGATCTAGGGCTTCTGTGGCCTTTTCACTTGGGAGCCGCCCAATATCGTTGAGGCTCTCTCGATCTGACACCTTAATAGAATTCACTTGCAACTCTTTTAGCGTCTTTCCAGCAAGGAGATAACATGCTTGTGCGGATTTCTGGGAGCCATGGATTTGCTCAATGTCGCGTTCTATCGGGAAGCGTAATAGCTGATGATAGGTGCTTGGCATGGCCTGCATGGTATGCAACCAAGTTCGCCCCATGATGAGATTATACGACGATGGGAGCTTGACGACTAAGAATTCCACATCCACTGTTCGGGAGCCCGCTCGAACGAGTAATGTGATCTTCCCCAACGGGTATTCTGGATTCGCGTTGAAGCCGAATAATGGATAAGTAGCTGGAGAAAGACCCAATTCGGAGAAGCCAAGTTTGGTGAATGTCTTGTGATACATAATTTCCGATGTGCTCCCCGGATCAATGAGTACGCGCTCAATGGTAAATCGGTTTACGTGTAACTCGATTACCAAGGGATCGATGTGGGGAAGTGTTACTCCGGCCAAATCTGAATCATCGAAAGCAATGCTCGCAGTTTCATGGGGCCGTTTAGCTGGAGTGAGTTGATTTTGAGGGTCGGGATTCGACTGAATCGTATGCACTGCGGATGACATTGACAGGCTGTAAATCATGTGGATCACGCCGAGTGAAGGTGAATCTTGTCGTAAGGCTATTGCTTTGGTTGAGTTGCCTTTTCGGACGTACTGTTGTAGCCGACCATCTTGTACCAATTCCTCCAGGTGATCCTTCAATGCGTAACAACTCTCAGTATCATGGCCGTGATCCTTGTGATACTCGCACCGCCTATCCCGTCGTCTCGTTTCGGGAGGTCCCACCATTTTGGACGGCCATTTGAAGAATGGAAGGTGTTGGACTTTGGACATAACCACGTTGATCGGCTTTGACAACTCCGTGTATTTCTTGTCGGCGCGCCTTGTGCGCCTACCATCGACTTGCAGTTGTTCATTTGCTCGGTGGGGGCATTAGACGCTTGATCGGCGAGAATCCCGTCTCTTGTCTCGTTTAGCCCGATGCCGTGGTTCAGGGCTCTGAGGTGGTATAGAATTTATCGGCAGAGCAATTTCAAAAGGGGCCGTCTTGTTGGCCACGTTTCTAGCTTTAACCCGCAAGGCGTCATCCTCCATTTTGCAGTATTCCTCAACCTTCTTCATCAACGACCAGACTGTTTTGGGGGGTCTTCTAGTCAAGGAGCTGCGGAGAGCACTGTCAGGATGCAAATCCAATTTGAAGGCGGTGATGGCCATGGAGTCGTTGCAAGCGTCATCAACAAGATTAAAGCACTTCCAATAATGTGCCGAATACGCTCTTAGTGTTTCTCCTGGCTGGATCTGCATTGCCTAGAGAGAGTCGGCTTATTTCGGTTAGACCTCGTTGGTGATGAATCTTGCCCTGAAGGATTTTTGTAATTGATGGAAACTCTTAATCGACGCCGTCTCCAACTTATAATACTATCTGACTACCAACGGTCCCAAACTGCTCGGAAATATTCTGCACATGAGAGCTTCGTCGTCTGCATGCAACATCATGGCTTGCTTATAGTGACGGATATGATCCGTGGGATCCAATTTCCTGTCGTACAAGGTGAATGATGGAGCTTTGAACTTCTTGGGTAATACTGCATTTGCGATTCGTCGCACAAAGGGATCGTGTTGGTCCTCTTCATCTGAACCATTTTGTCTTCGCTTATGCCTTATACGTGGACTCTCTTCAGAGGAACTGGTAGTCTCGTTTCGTCCCTTCCTCTTGGGCACTGGGGATAATGAGTCGGAGTCGCTGTCAGTGTCTTCTTGTCGGGCTCGAGGTCGTCGACAACCTGTCCTCAGAGGTCGTTCCGGATCTTGGCGTACAGCTTGTTTGGACTTCGCCACTTCCAAGGCCAAATCCTGACGGAGACGTTCGTTCTCAATGATCATGTTCTCCAACCTCTGTTCGTTTTGCTTTGCTTGTTTCATAATTGCTTGCATTGTCTCCTGCTCTGAAGTCAAGGGTGAGTTGAAGTTCAAGGCGTGTCTTACGGCGATGTTCTCTGGTCCTAGCATGTTTGTTGGGGTGAGATCATCTCTCGGTGTAGTTTTATCAGCGATTATCGGAGGATCTTTCGTTGCGCCCGCCATGGATGTGGTTGAGTATTCCCACAGACGGTGCCAATTGTGGGGAAGGTGGTTTGGAAATACTCTTTGGATCCTGGGCGACGCTCGTGATCCTCTACTATTGACCTGAAAAGGAATAAACACTCCGGTCGGGGTGCCGGAATTAGCACTCCGACAGACAAGTCAGTCTCTACGCTCTAGATTACTTGTATTTTAAGTTAAGCGTATTGGTTCTCACATACTTCTTTTTGGATGATGTTCTTCTATTTATATCTTTTCTTTCTTGGGCCTCGGGTTTGGGCCCACTTTCGATTCGCTGTATAACTGTTTACTCGGCTTCTTTAACTGCAAACCGCTTTCCATTCGGCCCCTTACTCAACCGGCTATTTGGCCGAATAGGGCCGAATGCGATGTATATATTTCGACTCTCCTGGTCCAACTATTCGGCCTATTTATGTCTCCCAATATTCAGTCTCCACATCAATTAACAATTTTTAATGATATGACAAATATTTTTCAATAAACAATTTTAATAATTTATTATTGCATAGGAGAATAGTTTTTTTTCCTCGAGTATTATGTTAAATTAAAATTTATAACAAACGATAGTTGTAATTTTTAGTATTATAGGACCAATTCATATTTTAAACAAACTTTATGAGTGTATTTGTAATTTGTCAAAAAATAAAATATTTATGTTTCATAATTGACTAAGAATGTTTGCATAATTACGAAAAAACCTATTTCATAATTGATCAAGAATACTTGCGTAATTACGAAAAAAATATTTACTCAACATATAGGCCACAATTAGTAAATTATTCAAAATGAAAGGGCAAAATAAAAAAGAAAAGACAAACCTCAAGCGGCTAAGCGCCTCTTATATATATATATATACTAGCTTAGCCAATTCGATGGATGGGTTTAAAATATAAATTTTAAATCTAAATTTATAATATATAATATATTTTTTTATGTTATTTGAGTGATAAAAGTGTTTTTTAGTAAGTTAAGTGAATGGTCTTAGGTTTAACTCTTGTATCTCTCTTCTTCTTTTTCTATTTTTCTTCTTCTTCTTCTTTTTCTTCTTCTTCTTGAGTTATATAAAATGTTTTTTTCAAAATGTATGAAATCAAAGCATAAGGTAGAATAAGTGATATAATCTATATTTATATGTCTTAGATAGTAACATTAGCATTATTTAAAAGTCGAATATGGATATATGAAGACCATACAAATCACATCATGACTTAGTAGAGGCCGATCTTTTGATTAGGTGAGTGTGATGCTTAATTCATGACATTCCCCTCTCATACCTAAGTTCCCGAACCAAGACACTTTGGTTATAACAGATAATGGCCTTTGGCATGAGTAACAGGTTTCCTAGTTTTTTCAAAAGATTAGGTGGCGACTCTGAGATCTAATGATGTAATTCATTTTCAGGCACATGTTTTGCAATAGAATGGATTTTCTATACAAATTGCCAAATCTGGACGCTCATTCATGTTTTACATTTCACTTGTGAAACTAGACCAGGAGATCGGAAGTCCAAACTGTTGGACCCGCTCAGTAACCCTGAAAATGCATCCCACATCAGGTTGTCATACCAGCTTGCTAGATGCTTGCGAAACTATATTCAATCTAATTTAGAAAACTTTGTACACTCCAACTGCTACTATGGATATTCAAGATATGGTGTATACCTTTCTTCCATTATTTTATTACTTCACTTGTATTTGTTAGGGTTGTATAGGGGTTGAGTTGGCTCGCTGTTGCCATCAATCCATCACCCGACCCGACCAGATCGGATTGAAAAAAACTCACCCGTTGTCACAACCCAAACATGCCTCTATAGGTTTAGGTTTAGCATTATAACCAACTAGTAATCCGCAGATTATTGAAGGCCTCTTAAACAGAAATCAATTTATTAGAAGCTAGCGGAAGCAAAATAGAAACACACATTGTCCATTGAGCTATACAGATATATATGAGACAAAAAGTATTTAAACTTTTTATATACATATATTATCACATCATTCCTAAGTCATCATATATACAGATGAGGCAGAAGGGAGTTAGCCCTATATACAGAATAAACAAAACTTAAACTTTAATCACATAGCCTTGACCACTTGATATATCTGGAACCTCTATGTAAGGCACATAGGTTGGCTAACAAAGACAGATTTAAGGCAGAAGCTCTAGGCCTGGTCACGCGTCTGATCACCCTACATACATATATATATATATATATATAAACAGTGAACTAGAGCCCAGTGAATAATAACAAAGTAAAAGGTTTATGAATGATGTCTATCACAGATTCAGAAATCAAAGTTCATATCAGAAACAGATTCAGGATCACATACTTATATAAATTTCCTAAACAGTTATACGTGGTACACCCATTAGTTAACATATCAGATTGGTCAAAAGACCCACATGCATAGTCGGTACCGACGACCATAAGTTCAACATCTTGTGGACATATAGCCATGGTATTGTATCCCCCAAGCGAGGGCCACATGAACATACGTCACGGTATTGTTTTCCTCGGATGAGGGTCACATGAACATAAGCCACGGTATTGTTTCCCCCAAGTGAGGGCTACGTGAACTAAGGATGGCACAAATACATTTTAGAAAAACTGGACAATCATTCATGATTCACAAATAGCATTTCATAAAACATATCATATCATTTCAGTCTGAAAATACTTACAATCAAACATAGCTTTACAGAGTTGTTACTCACAGATAACTCCATAAGCAAATTAGACATATTAGACATATTAGACAAGTCAGGCAGACGATAGCACGTAACCTACACAAACACATAACATATACACATTAGAACATAATATCACTTCCTTGAACAAACTTGACTTCTCTTGTCTTTTTGTTTTTTGTCTAAGTAATTCGAAATTCTGCTACGCTTATTCTTTCTTACTTAAATAAACAGGATTCTCATTTCACATATCCTTTCGTTACTAAATCTTTCTTTTCCAAGTAGACCGATTTCTTACGTGGCTTCTTAATCAATTACTACTAAATCAATGACTTATTCTTTAACTAACTAATTTATGTTGATTGTCAGATCGTGTCTAGAATGCTTTGGAAAGAGATGAGATCGAAATATGAGCAAAGTGTAGTTTTTCAAAATATGTTGAAAATAGCTTGATTGCTCAAGCCACTACTTGGTCGCTCGAGCGGACTGTATTGTCTGTAAAAATATTGAAAGCTCGTAATGTTCGCTCGAACCACTGATTGGTTCCTCGAGCGGTCTGTAAATTTTCTGAGTTTCAAAACTGTAGTTTGAGCTTCCAAACTTCATTTCAAATTCAGATTCATGCATAACTCAATTTAAACATGTAAGGTCAGTAATAAATATGAACACATGACTAATTTCCAAATTTCCACACAAAAACCTCCTTATTTTGTCCAAATTTAAATTTAATTCATTTCCTTGATATCAAACCCAATTTCATTCTCATAAGTTCTAAAATATGAATTAAGCTTTCAAAATATAATTCCAAATTTAAATTTAATTCATTTCCTCCATATCAAACCTAATTTCAAACTCATAAGTTCTAAAATATGAATTAAGCTTTCAAAATATAATTCCAAAACTTAGGTTTAAATATGGCTTGTCTAAAAATATACAATCTCTCAAATAATTAAGAAAACTTGATCAATTTTAAACCATTTATATCAAAACCCCTTTAATATAACAATTAAGCTCATTCTTCATAGACTCATAATTTTGTTTCAAAATTTAGTTCTTTTTTCATCAAGACATGGAAATCAATTCCTAGAAATCTTTAATGCATGTACAATTAGAATATTAAAATTTGTAGAATTTGTTCATGCATGTAGGAATTAGACTCACACTCGTGTAAGATATTCAAAATCAAATCCAAATAATTAGTTTCCATGACTATGGACATGCATGTAACCCATTTTGTCAGACCCGAAAAATCCTCTCACATGGATGTTGATGAGCTCTAACGAAGAGATGAGCTTGGTTGTTGTAATCTGCAAGGATAAATATAGTTGACGCCATCCAACCAGGGTTACCGGCTGAAGACACTCCGATGATCAAGTTAGAATTCATGAATGAAGAGCATAGTTAGGGGATAGATGATATTTGTTTAGAATATTTTACCCCATATAGCTAGGATATTTTTCTGGCTCCCACAATTGCCCCAAAACTTTCATTGTCTGCGGTAGAAGGAATGAGAGTTTTTATTGCCGATTTGCACTGTTCAAACAAATGTTAGATTTCTTGATAAAGAACACTTTGAATAAATGAATAAAAAATGAATGAATGAATGACTATATGAATGCATGTATGCTTCAATGTATGTGCAAATATACGTATAACTATATGTATATAAGGGTGAGTGGTGAGCTAAAGCTCAATAAGTAATACTAGTATGGAGAGGTTAAATGAATGATGGACCATGGTATTATTACCTCCGGGCAAGGGTGTAGGCCGCAGTATTATAACTCCCGGGCGAAGTTGTAGTATATTGCTGAGTGCAAAGATTGCTTCCAAATATGGACTTTCGTGCTGAGCTAGAGATATTTCTGTGTGCTGAGCATGGAAATGATTACCTGAACCAAATAAGACAGAATAAATAATGTAGATATATCAGCCAAAAAAAAGTGGGAAGCTGTAAAAACTGTAAGAATGACGGTGTACGCAAACATATGTGAAAAACTGCCAAGTGTTATGTATTGCCCCAAAACTAGCACTTGCTTGGAGCTGTGTGAAAAGGAGCGGGAGTTTGTAACTCAAGTAAATGTCGTTGTAATGTTTGGACCAAGTTGGTCGAGTTTGTATGCATAGCAGAGGCGCCGAGATGATGATCGGCTGATATGCCCCAATTGGAAAACGGAGAATTGACTAAGATGTCCCAATGGGCAATAAATGGCCAAGGTAACGCAATTAATGATCGGGGAAGACAAAGGATTATTTCCTCGCCCCAAGATCCTGCTGCTAAAATTGCATGCCGATCGGATAGGATTTGACCGTTGATTTTGCATTTAATGTTCCCGATTGGCCAATGTATTGATCTCAATATGCGACTCAGAATTTGCAAACTTAGACCGTACGGATGTGTTTAGAAGGCTCCAAATAGTTGGAAACGACCATTGGATCGCTGTAATCAGACTCCTGATGGCATAGTTGTAGCCAAAATAGAGCTGATGGCCCAGATCGATTGAGAATGGTGCTCTGCAAAGCACTGGATAATTGCTCAGAAAAAAGTAAAAGGAAGTTGTTGGTGAGAATTGAACTCTTACTCTCATGGTGAAATAATTACACTAAACCACATTGCCATGTCTGTATACATTTTGCACATTATATATTTGAACTTGATTGTTTGGCTATGACATGATGTAACTTAGCCGCAATGCACACAATAATTTCTTTTTTTTGCCAACTTGTGGTCGTCTTCTTCGGCAAAATAGATGAATTTCTAGGCAAATTTTTCCTAGCTCGTACGTCTTCGATTTAGCTCTGATTTTGACGCGGTTTGTTGTGTTGGACTCGACTTAATGAGTACTTCACACTGGTATGACCAAAACTTGATTTTGACGATTTTGAAAATTTTAGTTTTCTGAAAATTTGGTCCATTTTGTAACTACTGGCGAACTTTGGTTAGTTCTTGGCTTCTCGGGTTGGTAGGTTTGCACTCATTGAGTTGACATGAATCTGTTAGTATTTTCAAATGTGGATTTCAGCAAGCTGAGATGCTAGTGTTATGCCGAGATAGTAGTGCCAAATAAGTTGTTGATGCTAGATAAAATGCAACATCGATGATATTAATATGCTCTTGATATTATGCCGAATGATATGTCGAATTGCAACGGGAATAGACCGAATAAGTTATGAATTGATAATATGTGGATTTGCAGAGTTGCGAATATGCCGACTAAGTTGCCAAATAAGCCGAATAAGTTGTCGCAACTGAGTTGATAAGATGTAGAGTAGATTTGGAACCATGCCGATTAATTGGCTATGAGTTGCGGCATTGCCGAAATGCGCATGCATGGGCTCAAACGCAGAATATAAATGGAAAGTGAGTTAACTTTCTCGCTTACCGAAAGCTAGTGGTCGACCTTCGCTTTGGGTTTATCTTGCCGAGCACACTTGTGCAGTAATTACCTTTTGTTCTTGACTTGCCGCATATGTGGTCGGCAATTGGAATTGTGGTGTATGGTCAATGGGACATCGTAGAACATCGAGTTGGTAAGTCCCTTGTGGTGTGTAGAAGCACCTAGTCGGTAACTAGTGCCAAAACACGGTTGGTGCCTCATTTATAATTTTGACTTTGTCGAGAACTTGGTCGGCAACACTTTGGCCTTTGGTTTTGCTGAGTTTGGCAACTTGGTCGTGCCAAAATGATTATGACAATGCGCTGGCTTCTCCAAGAGAATGGTATTGTTGAACAATCGTTGGACAGCTTGCCAAGACCGCTTGGTCGGCAAGTTGGCAATGTTGGCTTGCCGAAATACTTCTTCGACAACTCTTTGGCCGAGAATACTTGACCATCGCCTTTTGGCTTTGTTTTGGACGAACAATAATGCTGACCCAATCCAACTCAAACTATGCAAAAACTTTAGTAAAGATCATAGTTGTATATAAACAATAAATTGGAGAAATATGCATATATATATGGCCTGCCGACTACCACAATTAATTAAATAATAATAATTTTTTTTTTATCATAACTCATGGTCCATTCTATGGCAATGCCTCTTGAGAAAGAAAACCTGAAGACCCAGCCTTGGATTCTACATAAATTTTTAGCATAGGTACATGTGCATGCATGTTGAGAATCAACTTTAAGATATGTTTTGAGAAATAATGAAGAATAAATAAAGAAATGGACAGATCCATGTACAGATTTAGCCGAGCAACTTTATTGAATTGCCGAAAAGATGTTTGCATCAAGAAAAGTGTGAAACCCATTTTTAGAGAGAGAAAACTATAAAAGTAGACCCATGAATTCTCTTCTGGTTTAAAACTTTTTCATCAACATGCACCATGAACCAATTTTGGAAATAATTTTAAAATAAATTTAATCAGAGAGAACAGAGATCACCATCCAAGTTTTGTTGGATTTTTACTAACAGTTACATGTTTGCTATTTCCTTTGTTGAACTTTTTCAGACGCTTCCCACAGACGGCGCAAATTGTGAGGCCCGAAAAATCCTCTGACATGGATGTTGATGAGCTCCAACAAAGAGACGAGCTTAGCTGCTGTAATCTGCAAGGATAAATATAGTCGGCGCCACCCAACAGGGGTTGCCGGCCGGAGACACTCCGATGATCAAGTTAGAATCTATGATGAAGAGTATAGATAGTAAAGAGTGCTGTGGGTGGAGTGTCGAGAGAGATGACCTCCCTTTTGTGTATGGAGTCTCCTCTTTTTATAAGGGATAAATGATATTTGTTTGGGATATTTTACCCATATAGCTAGGATATTTTTCTGGCTCCCACACATTTCATGTTCAAAACCCAATTTCTTCCTAAGTCCATGAATATAATCTCAAATCCTTCTCAATCTCAAATATTATAGGATGATTCTACAAAATCAAATAAAAAATAATTAATTTCTAAATCAATTTCCAAAACCATGATCCTAACTCAATTTCCTTCATATTTTTCTTAATTTCTTCTAGTTTCTTTAAATTAAACCCATTTATTTCTTGATTTTGGTTGCTAAGGAATGAATCTATAAGGATTAAGCTTGAACTCCTTACCTAAGCTCTTGAATTTGGTGAAGCCCTTCAAAATTTCTATAGTCTCTCTTCAATTCGTCACTTTTCCTTTGCTTTCTTAGTTGTTTATCTTGAATTCTCACTCTCCAGCAAGCTCTTTTCCAGTAACAAAGATGAGGTGAGAGCTCTCTCTCTCTCTCTGTCTCTATTTTTTTCTCTTTTTCTTTTAGAGTTCTTGGACTCAATGATACACCACACTTTTCAATTCATCACATTACACATATTACTTACATCTCCTGTTTTGACCTCATTACACGTGCATACATACACTCTTGTAGAACTTCCAGCACAACACTTAACATGCACACACCCACAAAATTTTCTCTGCACACCCACACCCAAATACACCCTCAATTCTAAATTGTTCTATAATTCAATTTATGTTTAGGATTAATTTAATTATGCAACACTTAGTCTTAATGAATTTTGATTAATGCATAATTAAATTAATTACAACTAATCTCAAATTCCACATAATTTAATTAGTCTAATTGACTTCAATTAAGGCCCAATTAATTATATTTAAATGTATCGATCTAAATCAAATTTTTAATTAAACTCCCAAAAGGTTCCAAATGTCAATTTAAATGTATTTCCATCATCAATTTTGGATTCTTACATTATTAAGGCCTTCAATTTCAGATTGAACTCAAAATCTCCTTCTATAAATTACATATTCAAATCGAACACCTCATAAGTAAATTTAATTCATAATAATTACAATTACTAAACCTCATAATCTCCTCATAATTTAATAAACTCCAATTTAGACCCAATTAATCAAATCTTAATTTTACTAAATTGAATCGAATATTTAATTAAACTCTCATATGATCTAATACTCGAAATTAAAATAATTCAATTCACCAATTATAATCTTTTGAGCCATTTAGGTTTTCAATTTTTAATTCCAAAATAAATGCTCAATAGAATCATATACGAATTAGTCTCCATAACCTTCATAAATCCTAAATTAATTTAGAATAATGGACAATTAAGATTCAAATCCCTTTAATTAATTAAATGTTAATTATTATCCGTGATGGGTTGTCACACCCATTGTTGACCGATGTATCCTTTGAAACTGCAAAACTCGGTTTGATCAGTTTCGTGGTCGGATCGGATGAAACTGAACTATATCAAACGAGCAAAAGAAAAAAAAGGAAAAGACAATTGTAGATCTAACTTTGGCCAATATATATTATATGATCCCAAAATATTGGTTTACCTTTTTCGATTCCATTTTAAACCTTAGTATATACATACATCTATGTATATATATTTACATACATAGATCTTTGAGTAGAGTAGAGGAAACAAACTATAAAATAATATAAAAAAAATGAACGACAAAGACTTGTATTATATAGATTTGTGATCGGTAATATTTACATACAACAGTTACCATCACTTGCTTCGTTTTTTCAGTGGCCACCACCGCCCCTTCCTGCAATATCTTCTTCGCTTGAGCCCAGTAGCCAGAGGTGTAAATTAGAACTGAGATCTCCACGTGTGAGAGGATGAGAGACGGAGAGAGTAGATAGAAGTTTAGAGTTCTATAGTTTAAAGGTCATGATCCATTTGGGTTTCTGAGAGAGAAATTAAAGAACAATCAGTGTTGAATTGAATAGAGAGAGAGAGAGAGTGGGGTGCAGATGAGTTTTTGAGAGAGATGATCTTCTTCGCTTGAGCCCAGTAGCCAGAGGTGTAAATTAGAACTGAGATCTCCACGTGTGAGAGGATGAGAGACGGAGAGAGTAGATAGAAGTTTAGAGTTCTATAGTTTAAAGGTCATGATCCATTTGGGTTTCTGAGAGAGAAATTAAAGAACAATCAGTGTTGAATTGAATAGAGAGAGAGAGAGAGAGAGAGAGGGGTGTAGATGAGTTTTTGAGAGAGATGGTGGAAGAAACAATGATAAATTGAATAAAGAAAGAGATTAAGTGGTGCATTGTGTTAGTATATATATAATATACCTTGTTAGTATATATATATAATATACCTTAGATATCATATACATTAGACATATGCTGTAAATGCTGTAAAGGGAACACCACATGTAAAGGGAACACCACTTACACACACTTTCATTGTTATACTTTCATAGTGCGTAGCTTTCATTATGCTATTTCTTTCTCCTTTGGGTGCTCTTCTCTATAAATGAGAATCATCCCTCTTGTACAAGATATATTGAATATAACTAAAACACTTTATTCAGTCTCTCTCTTTCTCTCTATCTCTACCAATCTTATATGGTATCAGAGCTGAGTTCTACACTCCTGACATTTTTCGTTTGTGGTGCTTAGTCCCGTACATAGTGGTACTACACCAAACAGCTCGGAATCACCTTACGATTCCAACGGCACCACGCCCGTCACGAGCATCCACGCACCACCTTTGTGTTCGGCGTGTCTCAGCTTCCGCCGCCACTCGTACACGCTCCTTCACGCGCCCTTCATTGTCTGCTCACATCAGCGTATAACGTCAACCCTGCTCATTTGTGTGCCGCGCCTACTGCTGTGCACCTCACATGCGCCGTTCCGCTATGGTGCACCGCGTGCGCCAGTGTGCTCCCATGCGCCGTGCGTACGCCAGTCTGCTATAGTGCGTCGCACGCCCTTCCTGCTATCGCGCTCCTCACTGCAACCTGCTATCGTGCGTCGTTGACATCATTTTAGCCTCTGCTGACGTCATCTCTGCACAGTACACATTTCCTAGCTATTTTCAACCTTTCGGACTCAGTGGTACACTCCGTTTTACCTAATTTCGCTCCTACAGGTCTGTTCTTATTTATTTAGCCCTACTCAACTATTATTATAGATTGTGATGATGCCTTCCATCCAATTTCTGTTATTCTCAATGGTTCCAACTATGTTCTGTGGGCCCAAGCCTTGTCTTCCTTCCTCAAAGGAAAGAAGCTCTGGCGCATTATCACCGTGGATGTCACCCAACCGATGAAAGACACTAATGCAATTGCTGCTACTACTGCTACTGCTATTGCTATTACTGCTACTACATATGAAGATCAACTTGAGGAATGGGACAGTAAGAACTACCAAATCATTACCTAGTTTCAAAATACCTCTGTTCCCTCTATCAGTCTTCAGTTTGGTCATTTTTAGCTTGACTCTGTAACCACTCCTGCAAAAGACATCTAGGATTTTTTGAAAGAATGATACCATACTACTGGTCTTGTCCATCAATATCAACTTCAGATCCAACTTCACCGCATGCGCCAAGAATCCAGTCAGTCTATTAATGACTTTCTTTCGCAAATGTATTTTGTTTGGGATCAACTTGCTCTCTCAGAACCGGTATGGCCTCACCAAGAAGATGCTGCTTTATTTACTACCTATCGTAATCAGCAGCGGTTGGTTTACTTTCTCATGGCTCTCACTCCCTCTTTTGAGCCTGTGCGTGCCTCTCTTCTTCATCGCCTTCCATTGCCCACTCTTGAACAAGCTATCTCTGAGCTGCTATCTAAGGAGACTCGTCTTAGTATTCTCCAAACTCATCATATGGACTCTGTTCTTGCCACTCCTCAGTACTGATCATCATTTACCTAGCGGACCACTGTCTGCCTCTATTGTCAGGATCGGGGCCTTCCCTCAACACATCTCCTGGTCAATTGCCCCATCAGATCCTGCCGATACTGCAACAAACTTGGTCCTGGTCATCTGCAACAGGATTGTTTTCGCAATCCATCCCGATCATCCTCCACTAGCCACTCCTCTAGCGGTGGTTCTTCCCGGGGGAGCTCTCATCGTTCTGAGAGTTCTGGGAATCAGTCTCATCACACTGTTGCTGCTGCCTCTGAGGATTTCTTTGAGTCACCTGCTCCGTCTACCTCTCTCTTTTCTCCAACTGATGTAGAGGCCATGTTCAAACTACTTCTCTCTACCTCTGGTACACCTCCTCCTACTGCTTTGCCTGTGATCCCAAGTAACTCTTCTTGGTATTTTGACTCCGCTTGTTGTAATCATATGGCCTCTAGTTCTACTATATTTTCTTCTATCTCTTCATCTACTCATATTCCCTCAATTCATACTGCTGATGGTTCTCTCATGTCTGTCCGTCATGTTGGTACTGTTTCCACATCTTTTTTATCTTTACCTCAAGTTTATCATATCCTTGTTCTCACCTTAAACCTTATTTCTATTGGTCAATTATGTGAGCTTGGTCTAACTGTCACATTTTCTGCTACTGATTGTTTGGTGCAGGACCCTCAGACGAGACAGACTATTGGAATCGGTCGTAAGAACAGACGTCTCTATGAACTTATTCACTTTCATGTTCCTGACTCCCCTCAGATCGTTGCTCCTGCATTGTAGACACCCCATTTTTGACCGACCTTAAGACTCAGACATCATCGATTAAGCGCTCGGTGATGGTGCATGTTGTGCTCGTTCTGAGGTTTCGGAGTTTTGGCCGAGAGCCTTGCCTCCGGGCCTCGGAACTTTTTGTGCTTTGGCTCGGTTTGCGGACCAAGTCTTGTTTTTCCTTCCCGGAGGGAGGGAGTGGTCTTGTAGACCATCTCTCTGTGGTCGTAGACTACTTTTGATGGTCGTAGGCCACTTTTCCTGTTTGGAGACTAGTGTTCAGTTTTTGGAGCCTTTGGCCGCGCGCCTTGTCTCGGGACTGTTTAACATCCTCCGTTTGGCGTGATTTTTGAACCACACCTTGTTGCCTCTGCCTAGAGGAACACTGTGGTCCGGGAGACCACTTTTGTGGTTGCATACCACTTTTGATGCTCGTCAGCTAGTTTTCGGGGCTTTTGGCCGCATGTTTCGCCTCTAGATTTCTCGTCTTGCATCCGCTTTGGTTTGTTTTTGGTACAAACATTTCTTTCCTTGTTTGGAAGGTGGTACATGGGTGGGAGACCAGTATTTCTCCTTGGAGACCACTTTTCCTTTTTCCAGCTAGTTTTCTTGTCAGATAATTGGCTTTCTTGGTCTTTGAACCATCTTTTCTGGTCGGCCACCACACCATCACCTTAAATTTAGTGTGTTGACCTCTCCCACCTATGGCCGACTAGTTTCTACTCTAGTTGACCACCTAAAGTGGTCGGCCGACCATGTTTTTGGCACCTTTTTGGAGATATTTTGGGACAGCTGGCATGGCTGGAGAGCATTTGAGCCATCCTCCATACACGTGTATGGAGGGATGGCATTCAAGCTTAGCTTCTCCAAGAAGCTTTGGCTTTCCTCTTCTATAAGAGGGAGGCTCCTCCTCCCTCCTCCAAGTTCAAAAATTTGCCTCAAGAGAGTTACATATAGCTTTATCTCTATATCACCCTTGTTCTTCATTTTTGTGTTCAAAAATGTAGATTTGTCTTACTTTAACACACAAACACACACTCAAACACCATCCTTTTGCTACTGAGGTGCTTAGGGGATGATTTTGGTGTTCTTGGGTTGCCTTGAGCTTGAAAAACCTGCTGGAGTTGTAGTTATAAAGAGGGTCTTCAACGGTGAGCTTTTGATCTTTAAATCCCCCTTTCTTGCTTAAGCTTTTAGCCTATCTTGCATGCTGTTTTAAGCTTATCTCATAACTGATAAAAGTTCTATTTTTGCATGCTTTTGATCTTTGTTTAAGATCACTTTTGTGTTTGGGGTTGTTTACCCCCTCTTAGGCCTTATTTGGCCTTGTTTTTGAGCCTTTTTTGTGAGCTTCGGGACCACCTTGTATTGGCCTTCTCACCATTGAAATCTAGAGAGATTTCAGTGGTGGGGATGGTATTTTAAGGTCCTAAGAAGGGGAGGGCCATTCCCTCTCCATGCATCTTCAATACATGCCTTAATATGCCTTATGTTTGAGCATCTTTACTAAGTGTATGTTGGCCATATCTTAGCTTGTATTTGTGGTTATTTTTCTGAGGCATACCACTATTTTTACTTGCCTTGGTCACTCCATGCATGGTTAATACACTTGTAGTGTAAATCACACAATCTAGTCTTGTATGCCTCATGTTTGAGCATGTCTTTCTAGCTTGTTTTGGAGCCATCTCAGTGGGTTTTTGGTGTTTTTTTGACATGCCTTAGATCTATTTTGGGATGGTTTGGTTGGCTCTTGCATGCCTAATACACTTGTAGTGTAAATCCCTTAAACTAGCTTTGTATGCTTTATGTTGTAACATGTCATTTTAGCATGCTTTTGGCTTATCTTAAAGAAGATTTTGTTCATGTTTTATCATGTCTAAGGTCTGATTTGTGTTGTATTGGTCATCCATGACTTGCTTTGTATAGCCTTGGTTCAATCTTGCTTGTTAGCTTTGTGTACTGAATCCCCTAGCATGCATTGCTTGGCCTATTTCAGTGATTTGGCATCACTTGTTATGTGATTTCAGTCCATGTTTCATGGCCATACACTCGCATCTTTCACTTATTCAATGCGTTGGAGGGTTTCCCCCTTTATGCCTTAACATGGACCATTGCGTATGCCTTCATGCCTTAGCTTGCGAGCCATCATTTCAGTGCTTATTTGGGATTATTTTGCTATGATATAGCTCTGATTTTTGTTGCTCAAGTCATTCCATGCTTGGTCTTACTAGGTGTAGTGTAATCCACCTTATTTGCCTTGTATGCACCATGCTTCATGCCCTTCATGCTAGCACATTTTGGCCTACTTCCATGCATGTTTTAGACTCATTTTAACATGTACTAGGACTAT